AATGTTTGTAATGTGCGAAGAATTGAGTACCTATAATACAAGCTCTGCTTAGCTTAGGCCTAAATGGCGCTGTGTGAACAGTCCTGAGATATCTATTGAATGCTAAAAGAGCAATTTGTTAGCAAGTAGATATACTTGCTAAACTCACGCATCTTCTGCATAGTATTTTCCCGTTTCTGCAACAATATCCTATCTCAGCTCGACTCCTATTGGTCGTAGCGTAATGTGATATAGCTCATAAGATTCCTCGATAAATGGGCTATCAAACACTATAAGAATAGTCAAAATCGGTTCAATAGTTCCGGAGAAAATCCTGGACATCCAAACTCACAAGCTTTACCTCTTTATAATATTACTAGCTTTTACCCGGTTTCGCATGCATTGAATACATTTTTTTTTTAATATAACGTATCCAACGTTCATTCTAATACCTCCCAGAACATGTGTACAAAATTTCACGATTATCGGTTCAGTAGATTTTGCGTGAAAGCGTAACATTAACTTTTATAATATTAAGTAAGGATTACAGGGAACATCTCTTCCCAGAGAAATATCCTGACAGTGATGATAGGATAAAATCTGCTTTCATCATCCTGATTATGATGACTTGATGAACATTCATCATTTAATTGTCTATAAATAATACTGAATAATATTTACCCCGCTCCTTTTCCACTATTAAAGTCATGTAATACAAAAATTTGCGACTTATTACTGACTTTTATGAAAGTTAAATTTATCATACTTCTTTATCAAACCACAAATGTTTTGTAATCAATATATTTTAGATTACTTGAATTAATATATAATGTTGCTTTAATTCTGTTTATTGATAGTTTTTGGATCGGATTCTAATTGTAATTTACATATAATATATAATGTAATTTCTAATTGTTATATATATATATATATATAAATACTAAAAATTAGCTGTCCCGGCAAACGTTGTTTTGCTCTTAAAAATAAAAAATAAAAAAACTTAGATAGGGTGGACTAAAACGTTAATAACATTTAGGGGATGAAAAATAGATGTTGGCCTATTCTCAGATCTATTCAATACGCTCACAAAATTTCATAAAAATCGGTCAAGCCGTTTCGGAGGTGTATGGGAACGAAAACTGTGACACGAGAATTTTATATATAAGATATAGGGCGGTAAACCATAAAATGTTAATAAAAGAAAATTGTAATTAATTTAAATGGAGATAGATAAAATCAACAAAGGCACGGACCGCTGTCTGTCTGCCAATGTCTGTTTGCCAATCAGTATTTTTCTGTTTATTATCGTGGCTTTTTAACAGTGATATCTTCATTTTCAAATGCATTGAACACAATTTACTTGACGTCCGTCTATCACTGGTCAAGTTGTCAAAGATGCGTCAAAAATGGTGAGAACTGGACGCCTGGGGCATGGGCTGTATGGTACGTCACCGTACAGCCGCCAGTATTTTACAGCGCTCCGCGTCCATATAACACCCACACATACAATTCTCCCTCTAGCAATGTATCATGTTAGGTCGACCTCCACGTGGTACCCCTGAAACCATCGTGATAAATTCTTGATGAATTCGTCACGTTGGGCTAACTGACATGACCTTCATGCCCATCTTATCATCCTCCACTGGTGCCACGTGAGCGTAAACCGTTAGCGCAGGCGGGTGCACCATTCCATTATCATAAACAAAAAAACCATTCTCCCTTCACTACGCCAAATACTCACGAGCAAGCATCAGTCCACACTCAATCATCGTGTACTCAATAAATCAAGTTGGAAAGCAGTCCGGAGTTATCATTTCTACATCATAGCATCCAGATTGTAGCAGACATAGCAGACTTTATGGTCCTTCGAGCCGGATATAAACCAGCGACCTATGGACCCGGGACAACACGGGTCCATAGATCGCTGGTCCTAGATCCGTGGTTGGGATCAATGCTAAAAATAGACTTCAATTTTCATCTGTTTCCATTGTCATGTATGTATATTAAACATTTGGAAGAGAACATCCGGACTATTTAAAGAAATTAACAGACACAACATTGCGACAAACGAGCATGCGGCTGACCTGATGGTAAGTGATTACCGCCGCCCATGAGCACCCGCAACACCAGGGGAATTGCAAGTACGTTGTCGGCCTTTTAAAAAGGAATAAGCTCTTTTCTTGAAGGTTTCAATATCGTGTCGGTTCGGAAATACCATTGCTGGAAGGTGATTCCACAATGTGGTTGTGCGTGGCAAAAAGTTTCTAGAAAACCGCATTGTAGAGGACCGCCATTCATCCAGATGATCAGGATGGTACTTTAGTTTCTGGCGGGTGGTTCGGTGATGAAACTCAGCAGCTGGTATTAATCCGAACAATTCCTCAGAACGACTTATATAAGAGAAATGTACACTGTATGGCAATCAAAGTGTACAACAATCTTCCAAGAGAGATTAGAGAACTGAGATCTCACTGTTCAGACGCAAACTAAAGAATTGGCTGTCACTTAGTCATTTTTAGTGCCCAAGAATATTTGACTAAAACGAACACTTTTACATGATTTGCATGCAATATATACCATATATATTGCTGATCAATAACATTTCATACTAGCTGTCCGCGACTTCGTCAGCGTGGAATTTAACAAAAAAGTTAGTTAGAGAATTTTTCTGAAATAAAAGTAGCTTAGGTTAGTCCTTATTACATCAGTTACGTGCCAATAAAAGTCCCGTCATAATCGGTCCAGCCATTTCAGATAGTAGCCGGAACAAACTGATAGACAGACAGATGTAAATTGTAAAAAATGATATTTTGGTGTATGTACCATATTTATATTCATATGCATGTAATAAAAAACTGTTATTTCAATATTACAAACAGACATTTCAATTTTATTTATATGTATACATGTACAGATAACATAATATTTACTGTACCAATGTTTTGCAAATAATTTCATTTCATTTCTCCTTCTTAAGGAGATTTCTACAGATGCAATACTTACGTCTCTTTTTCTTAGCAGCTCTGTCTTTGCTGTTCACCAACGTGGTGACCTGCAGGACGAGAGGCTCCAGGGTCCTCTCTACGGAGGTGGTCCGGATCTCCAGGTTCTTGGGGTCCCACTTGAGCGTGAGAGTCCCCGTAGTACCGTAGGGGTCTGTCATAGTCGCCATTGTCTGAAAGATTTAAAATATTTTAGCAAATCATAACTTAGTAGTCTAGATGTTTAGCACATCGCGCCAAGCATACGGCCCATCTGATGGTAAACGGTTACCGTAGCCTATGGACGCCTGAAATACCAGGGGTGTCACGCGTTGCCGAAACCCTAATATACCCTTCTTGAAAAACCCCATGCATGATGACATGACCATACAGATCCCTAATGTGGCGAACTAGGATGGGAAACAGAAGAGTAGGTATACCAGCTGCCAGAAGGTCGGACGACATAAAAGACAGCAGATCCGACCTGGACAAGATGCGGAACTGATGCGTCGCAGACTGAAGACGCCGGAAAATTAAGCAAAAGGCATACATCTAGAACTGGACTAGTATATGCTGAAGAAGATAATACTGTACTAGAAATAGAAATGACAAGGCTGTTATTTTCCTTGTTCACATTGTAACTAGGCAACGGTGTTGCCGCGTGAAATGAATGAATGAAATGAATGTAAATAAATAATGAATGAATGTAAAGTGCCATAGACTTAAGTAGATAAAGATAAAAATAGAAAACTAATTTGTGTTCTAACGCTAACAGGGATAGCTTTAGCTGCACTCATAACATCTTTATATTGCGGAGTGATGCTGCAAACTCTTTTCAATTACTTGCAAGTTTCCCCATAAAGCTTAGTACAAAAACCAATTTGATAAAATATCGCGATAAAAGCTATTGCATAGCTTTTATCGCGAGCTTTGAGCGCGGCGAGCGAATCAAGAAATTCCGTAACGAAAATAAACCTAACCCACTACTCCGATCGGCAGCGCTGCGGCGTTGAAAGCACGTATAACATATAACAACGTATAACAAAAATATAAACGTGTTGGCAATTAGCTGTAAGTTTATATTCTGTTAATTAAATAAGTAAATAATAAAAAGCCGTGCATCGTCTAACGTCGTTTCAGTTCGGCAGACTTCGGCAAACTTCGGCATGGTGTTCGTGTGCGTGCGACTAGCATACTGTACGAAGCTCGCATGGAACGGATCGAGACGAGCCGCTCCGAAATCGGACGGATACGTAAGCAGCCGTTTGTGAGAAAGTATTCAAATTCAAATTCAAAATATCTTTATTCATCTGTCACATCTACCGTCAGTTCGGAATGATTTCGAGATGAGAAGAACTGACAAGAAACTCAGCTCGTATTCTTTTCAAATAAATGTTGTACATGTTTACAATAATACACAGTCATTTAAATTCAGATTTAGGAGGTGTGACCACCAACATATGTTGCAAAAAAAAAAAATCTGTGTTCGCATCCTAAACAAACCAGTCCCCACAAGCTGCACCCGTTCACGAGAATGACGGATGTGCCAGCCACCATTGCACTCAACAATATTAGTGGGAGCATATCGACCCGGCCCACCACGCCGCCTCAAGTTTGAACTTTATGGCGAGAATTACTGTTTCAAGTTACTCCACTACGTCAATTATATTATTTACAGCATAGGCTGTACCAATCACAGTTTTCACCCATTACAATATTTAATTTGCATTATTTAGTTTGTATTCACACACTTAAACTTAAAAATGTAAAGTAAGAATAAAATTATTTCATTCATCGTGTGGTGTCTGTTATGACTAGACGTGTACATAATTTTTGCAATCATTCAATCAATGTATGCATAGAATATTGAGCCGTAATACATTATAAATATAGCCTAAAGTGGTGTTGAGTGAAGTGTTTGTGTGTGAAAAGCCGGTTGTTTACGAGTGCATAATCTGTGCTCTTCGAAACTAAACTTACAATACGTTTATTAGAAAGAGATAGATTAATTATGCAGCGCACACATATAACTACGCTGAACATGAAGTGTTCATCTAATCCCGATATCTCGGCGGTAGCTACTCAAGACAATGACCGACAAATTAAATTACGAAAACGTAAACAGCCAGAATCCGAAATTCTTGGATCTGTTGTGGACATGGTCGAAAATAAAATAAAAGAGGAGTTGTATGCCTGGAAAAGCCGGTTAGATGAATCCATAGCCGAGTCAATTAAGAATGCAGTAAATACTACGATTGACACCCAAGTGGCTAAATTGACATCCTCTATAACTGAATCTCTCCAAAATATATCTTCAAGATTAAGTGACATTGAAAAGTCCTTGAACCATGTCAGTGAAGGACATGACAGTCTTGAAAGTCGTGTGAAATCGTTAGAGGAATGTATATTACATGAGGACAGCACGCAACATCAAATGGCAGCCCTTGAAAACAAAATAGATCAGATGGAGCAACAAGCCCGGCAATGTAATATTGAAATCGCAAATCTACCTGAGCGTCGAGATGAAAACATCATATTTCTATTAGATAAGATTGGTGCTGTCATCAAACACCCTATCAAACCTGTGGATGTAATTTCAGCCCATCGTGTGCCTCATATGGATAAAAAAAATGCTCACCCAAAGAATCTAGTTGTCAAATTTGTATCTAAAATACTGCGTGATAATATAATAATTGCCGCGCGTGCCATGAAAGGAATTAAGTCGGACCAATTATCGATAACAGGGACTCCTCGTAATATTTATATAAACGAGCATCTAACTCCAAAAAATAAGTACATATTTCGTGCGAGTCGTGAAGCTGGCAAAAAACATGGTTTTAAACATATTTGGGTCAAACATGGCACAATCCTTGCTCGACAAACTGACTCATCGCCTATTTTCGCCATTCGTAATGAAAGTGACATTAACAAGATCAAATCCTGAACTGTATGTGTTTTGTTTTTATATTTATATACTTATACTTATATTATTGCAAAATTGTGCGGAAATAATGATCAATTGTCAAAAGTTATATGTCTTCGTATATCTTGTCTTACACAAATGTAGTGTGTATTACAAAAAAATACATTCCTTATTATGTATCTATAGCAAAAAATATATACTGAACATAAGCTATATACTTGGATTATTTCATATATATATAAATAAAAATTGTATACTTGTTTTGCATAAATGTAGTATGTGTATCAAATATGTATATCAGTTATTATATATACTTAGTCAAAAAAATACGGCGATTATAAACTACATTCTTAAAGTATTTTATGTGTGTGCTGATAAATACTTTTTACTTGTTCTGCTCAAATATATTAGAAAAATACATTACTTATTGTTCATATTTAGTAAGGAATATGTAGTGAATGTAAGTCTATGTATCGGGATATTTTATGTACGTACAAATAAATATTGCATACTTGTTTTGCATGGTTATAGAATGTATATAATAAAAATTATATACATTTGGTAAAGAATGCATGGTGAGTTTAGGCTGTATATTTAAGTTATTTTATGTGTATACTTATGATTGTTTTGTATTTGTTCTGCATAAGCGTATCAGAAAAATATATTACTTACTAGTAATATTTAGTAACAAACATATAGTGAATGTAAGCTATATACTTAGGTTATATATATGTATACAAATAAATATTGCGAAAGAATCTCCAATTTTGATGTTGATATTAAATAACAAAATGGTTAGAAACTAAATAATACTGTATCATGGCATATCAGGTTTATTAAATATCTATCGTAGTTTTCAAAGTTCCCACAAAATGAATATTTAAAATATAATAGATTTTTAAATACAATTCATAACCCTTGGTTTATTATCAAACTAAGGGATAAGAACAAAATTGCATACATTGTACATGAACATTCTATCACAAAATTATGAAGTTATAGTGTTAACCGAAACTTGTTACATAGTGGAATATCGGATAATGAATTTATTGATTGTAGGTATCAAGTTTTTAGAAGTGACCGTAATCTAGAGGTTAGCGTCCGGCGTGATGGAGGCGGCGTACTGATAGCGGTGTTGCGTTCCTTATGCACAAATGTGTTTCTGCCCCCCGCCGCTGACTTAACGTCCCTTCCCCCGCATGTAGATTATTTAATGGTGCAGATAAATATTGAAAACTTAAAGTATATTATTAGTACTGTTTACATTCCACCGGGACAAAGTAGTGATACGTACAAAGCGTACTTTAATCTTCTTGAGAATGCACTATGTAATTATGATTCCGAATTTCTTATCACAGGAGACTTTAACTTACCGAAACTTCAATGGAAATGTAAAGAATCGTATCAGCAACCAATAATTGATTTTTGATATGAATCAATCATATAGTTTTATCCAACTTCTTGTCAATGTTGAACTGTTATCAGCATAATTCATACACAAATAAATCTAATAATATTCTTGACTTATGTATTAGTAATAAATTAAATATTGACATATCACTTATATCCTGAATATTCAACCAGACGATTATCACCCTCCATTACAGGTGAGAATTCCAACTACTAATATTTTAAGCCGTTCTCAACAAAGTCATATGTTAAATATTGTTATGTGAGAGCAAATTATGTGACAATAAGTAATGAAATCTTAAATATTGAATGGAATAACCTCTTATCAAAATTAAATACAGAAGATGCTGTCAGTATGTTTTACGAAAAATTTACGACATAATTAAGAAAACATGTACCCACAAAAACTGTTAAACCCTTTAAATACCCTGTCTGGTTTACATCTGAACTTATTAGATTATATGAAAAAAAAAATCGTGATAACCATGAAAAAATTCAACTCGGAATCTAATCATAATGTTTTTTCAATATACAAGACATTTCAAATGAAGTCAAATTCCAATGTTATAATAAATATATGAAACATATTGAAGATAAAATAAAGTAAATAGTAAATATCCTTTCAAAACTATATTCGCAATCGTGATAATAATTCAGACATAAATGAAACTCTTATATAATAACTCAGAGGCAAACAGACCTGAAGAGGTATGTGCTCCAATATTTTTCAATCTACATTTGAAAAGTCTGCTGTTTCTGAAAATTTTGATATAGATGACATCGTATTATGAAACGTTTAACACCTGATAATGTTAAATCTTGAAATCTTAGAGAAGGATGTACTTGTAGGTTTAAAGAGTATAGATATTAGTAAAATTAAGGAATAGATAGTGTTCATGGATATTTCTTAAAAAATACTCAATGCTGTTATTTGTAAACCTGTGTGCCACATATTTAATAAATGTTTGCTGATGGAATGTTCCCTAGGATATGGAAAACAGCTAGAATTGTACCTGTACACAAAGGTGGCATCAAAACAGAATAAAAACTATAGTGCCGATTTCCATTCTTCCCACTATCAAAACTTTACGAAAGACTAGTTCATAAAGTATATCTGTCTCCATAATGTAATTTTGAACCAACAGCATGGTTTTGTTCAACGTCGATCTAAAGTAACAAATTTGTTTATACAACTATTTATTTGATGGGCTGGACAATAACAAACAAATAGACTTTATATAATGATTTTCGCAAAAAGGCGTTTGACAGAATCGATCACAGAATGTTATGAAAAAATATTTTATATAAGGAAACCTCTGGAGATGGTTCAAGTCTTATATTTCTAAGTAGAACTCAAAAAGTTGTTATTTGAATCTCAAAAAGGGTTGTAAGGAGTTCCTCAAGGATCCATTCTTGGCCCCTTTTATTTATACTCATTTATAAATGACATTAACACATGTTTTAACTTTTTTTTATATGCTGATGATTAAAAAAGGGTATATTATAAGGGGTTAACAATATAGAAGACCATGTTAAATTTCAAGAAGATTTAAATCGTTTTACAAATTACTGCAATAATAACAAACTTGAAACTTATTTTTGAGGCAGTTGATTACAAAGAAAATAAAAATTAGCAACTTCAATATTCACTGTAAACAAATACTACCATTAAGTTAAACATCAAGGATCTTGGAATGCAAGTTTTTTCTAAACTACATCTTGATTTACACATAGAGAGTATAATTAATAAGGCTTATAAAATGTACGGGTTCATAATGAGATCAGGTACTAGGTTTAGAAACTGTTCTACATATATTCATCTGTTTCAGTCATTAGTAAGATCACAGTTAGAATACGCAGTGACCGTATGGAATCCCCATTATGATAAATATAAGAATAAACTAGAAATGGTTCAAAAGAAGTTCCTCAGACGTATACATTTTATGTTTTTTCGTAGAAGACTATCCTATAAAGATCTACTTAAACATTATAAATTGCTGAGCTTGAGCTTAAGACGCTCTCAATTACAATGTATGCTGCTTTATGATATCTGTAATAACAAATATGATTGTTTAGATATGTCATCAAGTATATATTACAACATACCCCCCAGAGTTGACCAGAACATCGCCCCCCATAGACTCTTTTCGATTAAAGCAAGTCGAACTAATGCAGGTATTCGTAAACCTATTACTCGCATTTTGCAGTCGTACAATGATAACTAATGAATTGGATATATTCAAATTGTCATATATAGGTTTTAGAAGGTCAGTAATTAATAAACTTAAAGCCTTACGTATACTATAATCACATAGAATATAATAATATAATTCATTCTTTTTACCTAGTCACACTGATGTACACACATACATACGCGCGCACCAACACACACACACACCCACACTACACTCATATGTACAAACACACATTCGCACATACAAATGATTTTTCCTCGTATCTTTAGTAAAACCTGTAACACACATATCTCATAACTCTTTTCCTCATTCAACCAACTACATAAAAACCATCATAATTATAAGTAGAAAATATATTAGCTTGTATGTTTAGTATGTATGCGACCCACATATCTTAATACTTTAATATAATTTGTGATCATGCATGTTGGGTTTACAATAACATAGTACGTAGAAAATGTAAAATAATTATAAGTTTCCTAATTGTGAACCTGTTTTTGATCCGAAATAAATAAATAAAAAAAAAAAAAAAGAGCAACACGCAAGTTTCTTGCTCGTTCTTGTGATGACCAATTTCTATTTCTATTTCTAGAAGATCGTAGACGTTGGCGGGGGCCCGACAAGAGCACAGCTCTTAAATTATGAATGAACTAGCTTTTTGCCCGCGGCTTCGCTCGCGTTAATTTATCCCCTTAGGGATGGAATTTATCAAAATCCTTTCTTAGGGGGTGCCTACGTCATAGTAGCTTTATGCATACAAAGTCTCACCATCGGTTTAAAATTGACAAAGTTTCATACAAACTTTCATCCCCTATTTTATCCCCTTGGGGGTAGAATTAATCAAAATCCTTTCTTAGCGGATGCCTACGTCATAACATCTACCTGCATGTCAAATTTCAGCCCGATCCGTCCAGTGGTTTGGGCTGTGCGTTGATGGATCACTATGTCAGTCACCTTTGAGTTATATATATTTAGATGAATGATGTTGATATTAAATAACAAAATGCTTAGAAACTTTTTGATTAAACCTTATATTAAATAATATGATTCAGCGTGACAGCCAATTAAGTGTCGTTTTGCAATTGTTGTCAATATAAATTAATTATAAAATACTCATAACTTGTTATAAATAATGTGAACTTCTGTGTGAGTGCTTTTTTAAACTTATCTAATATTTATCCGCATTGTTAGCTGGCCTTTACAGCTTCACCGGACGATAGGGAGTGCAGATGGCATTCCCAAAGGAAGAACTTATGGAGCGGCTGAAGGACAACTCCTCCTGACAGATGTATAGCTGAGGGCTCAAAGCAACAGATTTGAACTTTAGGCTGTGAATATAGTCCCCGTTTCTTATGGTCATATGTGAATATGTGTAAGCACTTAATGTCCCTTCATTTGGAATATAAACTGTAAACTCTCTAGTGATATCTACTGCTGAATCAGTTTTTGATAATATCGAAAATAACAGAAGAGCAATGTTCAAGATATGAATATAAAATGATAATAAACTGTATGACTGTAACAATTTTTACAGTCTATACATATAAATAAAATTGGAGTGTCTGTTTGTAATATTGAAATAACTGTTTTTACTACATGCATATGATTAT